TGTGACATAGAGAGGGCCTCACCTGTCACTTCCATTCTATCTTATGTTTAAAAGTCACCGGGAGGCCAACACCACGTTAGGTGGCCATGTTATCCCCTCACGTCAACACATAGCACCTCTCTTCCCGCTTGGCATCTAGCAGGGCCTCATCTGTCACCGATCTATACCCTATTCCAAATTATTATGCAAATTCTATTTAAGTGTCACAAAGATTAAATATTTTGTTTTTCAGTTTAACTCATGGATGGCATTGTGTCTCAGGGCTCTTTTGATCACTGAAAACAATCTCGGACACCTGTGATAATTAGATTGCCAGGTGAGCCCAATTTAAGGAAAAGCTACTAAACGAGGGTGTTCTACATTATTAAGCAGAGCACCATTTTCATGTAATATGGGGAAGAAAAAGGATCTCTCTGCCGAAAAGAGTGAAATAGTTCAATGCCTTGGACGAGGTATGAAAACATTAGATATTTCACGAAAAATTAAGCGTGATCATCGCACTATTAAAAGATTTGTGGCTGATTCAGAGCACAGACGGGTTTGTGCAGTTAAAGGCACATTGAGGAAGATTTTTGCCAGATCCATGGATCGGATTAAGAGACCACCTGCTAAAATACAATTACATAGCAGCAAACAGATATTTGAAGCTGCTGGTGCCTCTGGAGTCCCACAGACATCAAGGTGTAGAGTCCTCCAGAGTCTTGCAACTGTGCATAAACCTTCTATTCGGCCACTACTAACCAATGCTCACAAGCAGAAACGGCTGCATTGGGCAGAAAAATACATGAAGACTAATTTTCAAACAGTCCTGTTCACTGATGAGTGCAGTGCAACCCTGGATGGTCCAGATGGATGGAGTAGTGGATGGTTGGTGGACAGCCACCCTGTTCCAACAAGGCTGCGACATCAGCAAGGCGGTGGTGGAGTCATGTTTTGGGCCAGAATCATGGGAAGAGAGCTGGTCTGCCCCTTAAGGGTCCCCGAAGGTGTTAAGATGACCTATGCATAGTATGTGGAGTTTCTGACTGACCACTTTCTTCCCTGGTACAGAAGGAAGAATTATGCTTTCCGTAAAAAGGGGTCCTATGTTAAAATGTAACGTGACATGATAAAATGTTTAAAAAGTTAAAATGTTATAAGTTTGATTGAAATAGCTTTTGATTTCAGTAAATATGCTGCAAACACAACAAATGACAATTTTCAGTTCTTTACAACCTATAAAGTGTTTTGAAACTTACTGTGCGTAATAATTTGGAACAGTGCATTGTAAGTTTTTTATGTTTTAAAAAAATACTGTTATCATTAGGAGGATTGTTCAATAAAATTTGAATTGTACTCTTATAGTTGATAACATGAGAATTATGCTGACTGTTAATTACATCAATCATTTAGGTAAATGAGAAAAATATAATTTGCATAATAATTTTTAACCGGGTGTAGTTTAATTGTTTTGGCACAAGCTAGTAAGCCAGCCCACTTTAGTTCCTCTATTCACATTGGTCATATATACACTAATTGTTGCTTTTTTTATTTTTATTTAGCATGTCTCAAATACCAGATGGTGGAAAAGACTTATTCCTGCCTGGCAATCTGCCTAAGTCTGGTACTCCTTCATGCAGAGGAGATTCGTCTACACCTACCTCCATCAGATCCTGGTCTATTCCTCGCATCAGTGTGGAACTTGGGAGATGTAAAATTCCGTTCCCAACAACCGCTAGGAAAGCTGAACTCGTCAAGTTACTGCATGCCTCCACGGATAACGCTGATGCAGGAGAGGGCCTGAGGGGTGCTAACCCCTCTGTTGTTCACTCCATGTTGTCTTCACTCATGACATCTATGGGGCAGATCAATCAGAAGTTGGAGAAATTAGAAACTGCCACTCTGGCTGAGTCGACAGCAAGTCTTCCCGCTCCTGTTCAGGCAGAACCTCCTGTGGCTCGACCGGGTAATTTGTTGTCCAGCATAGATACTCCGCTGGATGTCGATCCAGCCCATATGGTCCTGGCTAATATTAGGAAAGATATCTTGGAAGGCAAGGACGTAAACCTAGTTTTGCTCCTCATTGCCTCTCAGGATATCGTAGATAATAAGACTTACATCTATGATGAATTGTTGGTTGTGATCAAGGCCCAGGACCCCAGGCTTAACAGGAAGCTCTCCATCCCGAGGCTGAGAGTGGTGAGGCTGGTGGGGCGGGGAGGCTGAAAGTGGTGGGGGGGAGGCTGAAGGTGATGAGGCTGGTGGTGGGGGTGGGGAGGCTGGTGGGGGGAGGCTCAGGGTTGTAAGGGAGCCTACCTTCTCTTCCCTGGTGGTCCAGTGGCCACTTCTTCCGGTCTGCAGCTCTGCAGAGCTGCAGACCGTGTAATATCACGAGACTATCAGAGCATTGACGTGGTAACCCGCGGCAACGCTCTGAATGGCCAATTCTCGCGAGACACATGGTCTGCAGCTGTGCTCACTGCTGAGCTGCAGACCTGTGTCTGCAATAGGGGCCTCGCATCCGGCGGCATACTGGGCAAGCCGCCGGGTCCCCTCCTGGTGTCAGGTCCTCGGTCACTGACCGAGGACCTGACACAGTCTGCCATAAGGCGGTTTAGCCAGCGTGAAGCCTTAGGCGGCCGCCTAAACCGCCTAATTAGAGAGCCGTCTCTGTTTGCGTTTTTTTGCGGTGCGTTAAACGGGGAGTTTGGTCTGTCACTGTGAAGCGGGCGTAACCCTTACACTACCTGATCGATACAACATCATACCTGATGTTTTAAAGCACGTTATTCCAAACAATTTAGGAATGTTAGGTGATTTATGCCCTTTATGGATTAAAACCAGACTCTGCATCAACTATGTAATTTTCCATGGGATTTTTGCCATGGATCCCCCTCCGGCATGCCACAGTCCAGGTGTTAGTCCCCTTGAAACAACTTTTCCATCACTATTGTGGCCAGAAAGAGTCCCTGTGGGTTTTAAAATTCGACTGCCTATTGAAGTCTATGGCGAACATTTGCGGAAGTTCGCGTTCGCCATTCGCGAACCGAAAATTTTATGTTCGCGACATCACTAGGGCCGAGGTTTCCTCCACCCTTGTTGTTCCCTCCCCTTCTACACAACCTGTCAAGGTCATCAAGGATACATTGGGATGCCCCCTACTCATTCTGGGGAAGTCCCAGGTCTGTAATAACTTTAATGCTGGTACCTGCAGTTTTAGCACTTGCAGGCTTTTGCATGTTTGTTCCAAGTGTTCCCGTGCACATGCAAAAACTATGTGCCCCAATAAATTATATCCCAAACCATACTTAACCTCTGTTAATGTGACTACCTTGTCAGCTATGTTGTCTTCTCAACCATCCAGACACTTGGTTGATTTCTTACTCTCTGATTTTTTTCTGAGGGTTTTCATACAGGCATTATACATATGCCGTCTGGTATCTTTGAGTGTGAAAACCTGCAATAGGCCCTGGCACACCCGGAGGCGGTTGATACTCTCATACAACAGGAGGTCGCTGAGGGTTTTCTTTTAGGTCCTTTTCAAGATCCGCCTTTCACTTCATGGAGGACGAACCCTATTGGTTTTGTCACCGGGAAGATCTCCATGAAACAGAGGGTGATTATTTACCTCTCCGGCCCTCATTCGATGTAAATTCCTAGTTTGAATTCCTTGATTCCATCCGAAGAATTTTCGCTGCAATATTCCATGACTGACAATGCCATCTTGGCTATCATAAAAGCTGAGATAGCCGCTTGGCTTAGTAAGACGGATATTGTCAATGCTTTTAAACTACTACCGATACACCCAACACTCTGGCATTTGCACAGTATTAAATGGAAGGGCCTATATTACTTCTTCTCTCAGCATACCTTTGGTTCTAAAAGTAGCCCAAAACTGTTTATTTTCACGGAGACTCTGTGCTGGTTGCTCCTTAATTTTAATAGATGTCCCGCAGTCATACACTATTTGGACGATTTCCTTATGATTGAAGAGAACACTTTTCCCCCATGTAGCCTTAAAGAAGCCATTGCTCTTTTCCAGTTATTGGGTGTACCAGTTTTACCCAAGAAAACAGAAGGCCCAGATACCATTGTTACCTTTCTGGGTATACAGCTTGATTATTTTACCATGCAGGCCAGTCTGCCCAAAGATAAAATACATCTCGTACTCTCATAGCATTGATCGATATATACAAACCAGGTCATGCTGCCGGAAGGAATTACAATCTTTGTTGGGGGTCCTTGAATTTTGCTATGAGGATTATTCCTCAAGGCCGAGCATTTATATTTCGGTTACTATCCCTGTTTCTCGATCTTCCTAACGATGACAGCTGGATCACGCAAGATGACCAGGCCACAGCGGATCTGCTCATGTGGCAAAGGTTCTTACTCTCATGGAACGGGAGGAGTATGTTCGTTCCCGAAAATTCACCCACAATATGGACGGACGCTGTGGCCACCACTGGCTTCTCTGCCATTTACGAAAATGAATGGCTATAGGGTGCTTGGCCTGCGGAAGTCCTGAGCATTGAGGGTTTTTCCACCTCTGCTCTTTTTTAAATTTACCTGATTGTAGCAACTGCTGTGGTGCGGGGGCAGGCAGGGTCGGGTTGTCTGGTACGCTGTTTCTCAGACAACCAAGCTACATGTCACATCTTTAGTAAAGGGCATTCGTCATATCTAGTTATTATGAGGTTCCTTAGGAAGTTAACCCGGTTGGCAGCTAGTCTTCAATTCTTTCTGATCTGTATTCATCTGTATCTGTACCAGGTGTTACAAATATTGCTTCTGACAGACTGTCTCGATTTCATTTCCAGGTATTCCACACAGCTCTGCCTACGGCCTTGCCTATGGCCACTGTTGCCCCTACATTTCAGGATCTGATCATTGACTAATCGATTTGATCATGGACTCTCACGGCCGTCATCTTTCTCAACTGGCACATGAAAGTGCTTTCTCCTTATTTAAGAGGTTTTTATTAGAATATAACGTTACTGGCTCTTTTTTGCAATGTCATCTGTGTTAGGTTTTGCTTCTTTTTGCCACCTCAAACTTGCATTATCCCATAATATCATCAAACTATACCTATCCGGTATACAACATCACATGTTGAACATATTTCCAAACAAACACAGCTTTATGTCTTCATACCAGATTAAAACCATACTCAGAGGCATTCAGAGATCCGGACACGCTCAAACACACAAGAGATTACGCATCGACATCCAACTATTTCATTCTCTGTCAGACCTATTAGATGCTTGTCCCTTCAATCAACACACCAACCTAATAATAAAAACTGCAATATACCTGGCTTTTTATGGTTTTCTTAGGCCCCAAGAAGTTACCACAAGTACCACGACCAACTTACAATATTGTCTAAACTAGGGGACTATTCTGTACTTTCTCTACCACACACAAAAACGACCCAAGATGGACAACACGTTAGCATTCCTTATTACTGCACGCATAATAAATGGTGCCCGGTTAAAGTCCTGGATACCTATTTACTTTCTCTAAATATCCAAGCTTCCCAACCACTTTTATCTGTACACGGGTCAGTCCTTACAACAACAAAATTAATGACACACATCAGATCATTAATCACAAGATTAAGTCTCAATCCATCCGATTATTCTGGTCACTCTTTTAGAATAAGGGCGGCATCCATGACTTCAAGCAAGAACATACCAGTCCATATAATTAAAACTCTAGGTCGATGGAAGTCCTCAGATATTCCTTGTATATACCACAACCGGTACAAGAACTTAGACATGCATTTAATAATATGTCCATGTAATTATGTTCTTTCCTATCACTTGTTGATTGTAATAAATTCTTGCTCGTATCTACTTTTTCCCTCTTTATTAACAGGCCGACAGCTTAGTCAGTTCTGGCACACCACAACCAAGTTTTTCTCTCCCTACACCATGCTACACTTTGATACTCTCCTTTCCTCTTTTATTCTGCCTTTTTGCCCCTAACACAAATGTGAAGGCTTGGCCTGCAGCTGTGGGAGGGGCATGGTTCCCTATTTAAACCCACTACTCGCCTTCCTCTGTCTTGTACGTGCCTTAACAATTTGCATGACCCCACCCTCCTCTACCTCTTTCTATACCTTTCATTACACCTCATGGGTGGGCCCTCTTTATTTACAGGCCTACCGCATCGTCGGTTCTGGCAAACCACAACCAACTTTTTCTCTGCCTACACTATGATACGCTTATTTTCTCTTTTATTCAGCCTTTTTGCCCCTAACACAAACATACTTTAATGATGTATGTGCAGTTTTCTTACTCAAATGCTGTTTTAATACACATTCCATGCACAATGGCCACTTGAAATCACTAAAGTGGTTATGGTGTTTGGAGTAACCCTGTCAGGGTAAAGCATTACCTTTTGTTAGAGTATTGTACTATTTTTTTTTCCTTTTCTGCAATTGAAGGAAGCGATTAGCATAATACTCACTGCTGTGTCTGTGCACCTTCCAAAATTTTAAACAAAGAGGAACATTTTAATTTTAGACGTGGGGCCAGGGGTGAGGGTGTTCTGAGACATTTTAGGTGACTGACTTATAGCATTTTATAAACTAAAATGTAATTTAGAACAATAGGAATGCATTTTATTTACACAGACTGATTTACACATTTACAAAGACATATTACTGTGAGTATTGATGCTGTGGGACTCTGTTATACACTTAGACACAAATAGTATGGAGATCCTAGAAAAGAGGGACATTAGAATAAAAAAATGAGGTACGTCCAACAAAAAACTGTCCTTGAGGACCGTGAACGTACCTCATATGTCCATAGTAAATTTGAGCGCTGTAAGCGATTGTGATTGCTTCCAGCCGCTCTAAGGGTATTACACGTTGCCTCGATATCGAGGCATCGTGTAATACCCCCCCCACACAGCCAGGCACCCGAGTGATCGCTCCCCCCAGAGCAATCACTTCCGGGTTGCCACACGTAGCGCCCGGCTGTGTAGTGCAGAGCATCGGAAGCCTTCAGGCAGGCTTCCAATGCTCTGCCTGTACTGAGTGCCTTGAGGGGTCAAGCCACTCAGTTAAAATAAAATTTAAAAAAATGAACAAAAAAGTTTAAAAAAATTAACCCCCTCCCACTCCCTCCCCATGTACTTACCGATCGCCGCCATTCCCCCACCGGCGATCGGTCTTCTTCTGAGGGAGACTGAGCCCAGACAGTACCCCCTCTCCAATTTAGGACCCCCAGGGGTCATGTGACCCCTCTAAAAGAGCGGTCACATGGCCGCAATAGGTGTCCACAGTGCTGCCAACAGGGGCACTGCCTGAACTGATGGGCAGTCCCCCTGCTGGTGAAAAAATAAAGTTTATAATTATTATTTATTAACAAATATATATAGGCTGGGGGGTGGAGTGATGACGTAGCGGGAGCGCGCACATCCTCATGGAACGCGACTGAGGGGGCGACGGAGGGAGCCGACCAGGAGTCAGCAAGGTGGTGAATACCCACGGCATGACACAGAGCCCCACTCAGGACTGAGCAGAACTTGATGCTGGGTAAAGAGAGGGGGAGTCACCAGCAATCCGACCGGTTGGAGCAATACCTCACAGCCAGCCACGACAGGAGGATACGGAATGCATGACAGCCTGGGGAAATCATCCAAAGCTAAGTGTGGAACACATTAATGCACGCTTATAGCAAACAGGGGAACAAATATCTATCAATACTAAATGTCAGTTGAATAATAAGGTCCTGAAGAGAAAAGGACTTAAAGCCTTTGTAATTTTCTCTCACAGGGTTGAGAAATTTAGCTGATAGCTCTATTCAGGCGGGGGTAAATCCCCATGTAATTTCTATCATTCCATTTTTTGGGGGACGGGGGGTTGTTTTTGTTTTTCTTACTTCCCTGCCTTTTTTCGGTGTGGGCTGTTCCTTTCAGTCCCTTTACATACCGTCCTTGCTCATTTGCCAAGTATTCTGACCCTAGCTTTTTTCTTTTAACTCCTGCACTAACCCAGCACTATATTAATAATGGAAAGTGACAATTAAAAAAGAAAGTTTTAAAAAAGGGGAGGAAAAGGGCGAAATAGACAAAGGGGGAAGAAAGGGAGAGAAGAAGGAGATTTTAAAAAGCAAGAAAAACAAATAAATTAAAGGAAAAGGGTAGAAGGAATTTATTGAAAAAAAAAAGAGAAAGGAAAGAATATAGAAGGGAAAAAGAGAATAAGAAAAAGTCCACAGAGAGGAACACCTGGCATTGGAAAGAAAAATGACAGAAATGGAGAACAAACTGATAGACCTGGAAGATAGAACAAGACGGAACAATTTAAGACTCAGAGGAATATCAGAGCAAGTAGCTGCAAAAAGCCCGGAGCCATACACGAAAGATTTTATCAAACATCTAGATGTGAAATGGGACTTCAGAATACCTATTATTGAGAGATGCCATAGAGTAAATAAACCGAGAGGAGTCCCAGACCACCTCCCAAGAAATGTGTTGATATGCTGCGCTTCTTTTAAACTCAAGACTCAAATAATGAGACCTATAAGAAGCAAAAAATGTGCTAAAGAATATAAAACCCTGAAAATATTTCAGGACCTTTCATGGCCAACCAAACAAAAGAGGAAAACTTTCTCTGACAGTACAACAATTTTGAGATATAATATTATAACAAAAATATATAACTAAAATTATCATATCACACGAAGGAAAAACTACATCTATTGACCGTGCAGAGGACCTAAAAAACTGGCTAACTGCAACTAACATTGGAAGTGGCCCCAAGCACCCATCAACAAACAGTTAGGCTCCAACTACCGGAAGGAAAAAAGGAGAAAAGAAAGAATACAAGAGAAAATGTATAAGCACGGGAGAGATTGTGAAAGGGAATAATCAATATCACAAGTAAAGAATAAGGAGAAAAGTATAAATATGGCAGTATAAGATGAAGTACACAGACAATAAGTTAAACAACACACAAACGAAAATATATCACCTATAGAAAAAAAGACACAAATTAAATTAAGAAGGAAATTGTATAATTGCACATTAAACACTAAGAAAAACAAGAAGATATAACGAAAATAAACACACCCACTCAAGGATATCTAAAAATACTTAAAGGGTAATAGAAAAAATGGGGGAAAATAAGTCTAAAAAGAGAGATTAGATTAAGGAATACAAAAATAATTTATAAAAAAAAATTAAGGATTAGATTTAAGGTAAAAAGTGGGTGTGGCTTATGGGGGTCCTGTAAAGTATTCAAACTTGGCAAACCGCTTTCCTATATGCTTAAAAGTACTTGAAGGGGCTCCCTCTAGATCGTAGACCCTCAGCACGCTTTTCCCACATGACAAGTGGGACCCATATCCGAGAAATGCCTGATATTACTCGAGATGCTGTATGGCAGGGCACTTATGCCATACAAAACCTACTTGGGTTGATTCCAAAATTTTGTTTTTTTTTATGCAAATATACATTTTCTTGTTTTTAATTTCATAATAAACTTTGGAGAGAGAGAGTCCCAAGAACAGACGGAAAAGTTTAAATTCAGTTAGTTTCAATAAATGCCCGTGGGATCAACACACCCGGTAAAAGATCTACAATCTTAGAGTTTTTAACAAAAAATAGGGTACAAATCTGCGCCCTGCAAGAAACACACTGGATAAAATCCAACAAAAACACAATAGGTTCATTAAGATACCCCACCATCATAAGCGCTTCTATGGATAATAAAAATAAAAGAGGTGTCACCTTTCTGTTTCAAAAAAAATGTTTCCCTAGATATTAAACATGGAGAACTAGATCCAGAAAGCCGGTACATCATTTTAGTATTTAAAATCAATAATAAGTTTGTAACGGACCGTTTTGCACAAAAGGGGTAAAAACCGTTTAGGCGATCGGCCCCCTTTCCAGAGATGCAGGCACAGCTACTGCAGAACACCAAACACACGAACCGCCAATAAGTGAATGCTCCAACCTCCCGAACGGCATCCAATATAGCACTCCAAATACACGAACAGGAACCATACGAATTGCTGCTACCAGACGAATAGGAAAAGCATCCAAGCGGCTTACACTCCTAGCAATCAGTCTCTATCAGCATTCAGTAAATCCCCCCAAAGACGAGACAAGGCTCCGTGTTGAGGGTCAAGCAGTGGTCTGTTTAATGAGGGCTACCTGCCCAGTGGTGGACACTCCCCTAGGGGACCAAATGGGAGACTGTGACAAGCAATGGCACTTGCCACCAGGAACCAAACGATGGGTGGACCTGGAACATGACGTCATGGGCTGGGACCTCCCGTCGTCCTATATGTGGGTACCAT